GCTCTAGACTCCTGTCATGATAATAATACCTAATCACGTAATCCTTTTAAACTGTTTTCTCCCTCACCTGTTTCAGTGCAGTATACATTATTGAACCCATACTGAAATAGATGAAAGCGAGAACAGTTTAAAAGCAATATATGAGTATTATGGTTATCACAAGAGTCCAGAATGAAGGTTGTATAGTGGACTGTACGCAGGGCGGGGAGATTGTATACTAATGAAGGAATTTTTCTTTTACTTTTCAAAGAGAAGAGTGAACTCGGGGGGTGGGAGGGGGGTGGGCAGGGAGAAAAGTGCAACAATGAATGAATGGAAATCCAAAATATCTGTAAATGTTCATTAAAATTAATCAAATAAAATTTTAAAAAATCAGTTTGCTTCTCAGATGTATTCTGCCAACTTGAAAATAGTTGATTCCTTAAAACTTCCCCATGGGTGTTTCTTTAATGATTGTTACCTGCTAGCAAGCCTGGACTCTCCTCTTTTGTGTGAGTTCCTCGAGATTCACATTTTGCCCATTCCACACTGGGACCATGGCAAGGAGCTCCAGACTGAAGCTTCTTAGGAGGATCTTCTACAGCTCTTATTTATGCTGGCACCACAGCCTCAAAAGCTTTTGGAGAGAAAGTGATGCCCAAGGGTTTTACTATTATATATCCTCTAGTGTTTGGAAAGCAAAGGATCATATCAGAACATGTTAAAGACATTGAAATGTTAGGCATTAAATCATGTTACTGTGAATTTCTTATAATGTTCACATACTTCTGCATATTGACTTAGTAAGATGCTCAGTATTTATTTTGTGCGTCAGCAGACAGCAAGGAAACACTGCATGGTTCAAAATCAGGAAAGGAGTGCACCAGGGATGCATCCTGTCCCCATACTTTTTCAATCTATATGCAGAACAGATCATTTGGGAAGCAGGACTTGATGAGGAGGAATAGGACATTAAGATTGAAGGAAGACTCATCAATAACCTATGTTATGCAGATGACACAACCTTGCTTGCTGAAACTGAAGAAGATCTGAAGTGCTTGCTCAAGAAAGTGAAGGAATGTAGTCTTCAATATGGATTGAAGTTCACCACCAAGAATCACTGCTGGGCCAATTGGTAGCACCATGATAGATGGAGAAGAGATTTGAGGATTTTAACAATTATATAGCTTGCTTGGTTTCACAGTCAACACTTTTAGCCCTAGCAGTCAGGAAATCAAAAGACAAATTGCACTGGGAAAAATCTGCTGTCAGGGA